CTCTACCAAAGTTTACTTACATGCATGTTTTGCTAAAGTAAACTATAAAACTATGCTGGATTTTAAACCTTCATCACTGAGCCTGCTGGTTTTTGTCTTTAAGCTTAAAATTAAGAATGTGTTATGACAAAATACGGATCATTTTTATGATATTGCAATGCTTGACGATGGGTATTAACAGTAACTGCATTTTTTGATTCTGAATGTTTGGCTACCGTTTGGCAGTTCATACTGGCTCCCAAGTGAGTGTGTCCGCAGTACCCAGGGGCAACAAGGGAGATGCGATACTGACGAGAACAAAACAACAGCGACACGATATACCTTCTACGCTGAGGCGGCAGCAGACTGTATAGATGCAATCGTTTAACTCAACGCCTATTGGGTCAATAACTTCATAGCTGGTGTGGCTCGGTAGGCAATTTGTCGCACTTTCGTTCCTGCTATCGTGTGCCAATATTGGTGATGATTTTGCTAATGCTGATGTTGTGATGATGATGAGTTAAAGCTGGACCGTAACCAAAGCACTCGGCGTATGATTAACGGCTTCCTTACTCGCGCACTTGTTGTCTATAAAACTATTCCAACTAACTTTGGTGAGAAAAAAAAACCCTCGCGTGGAGAAAAACTAAAAATGAACAGTAATGTCGTGAAACGAGACCAGTACGTACGTGCGAGACGGTTTGAAAATAAAATGTTAGAAACTCAAATATATCAAAAAGTATATCTTCCATGTTTATATATTTTGCATTAAAAGACTCGTACTAAATACAAACTTTTGAAATATTTAAAACTATGAACACTTGAAAATTGACAAAAACCGTTGAACAAGAACTTTTGGTCAAATTTTTCCACTTTTCGGCTAGTACGCTGTTTTATTAAAATTCAACACAGGAAATAATATTTGAGACATTCTAAATCGCTATCTATGCAAAACTTACATAAAAAAGCTTGTAAACAAGAAGTTTAAAAATGTGACCAAATGTTGCTTTTCTACGATGTTTGCCAATGTTCATGTATCAAAGTTTTAAATACTCCAAAAGTTTGCATTTATTATGAGCTTTATTTAAAAATAAATAATAAACATTGAAGACATTCTTTTTGAGATATTTCAGTTTTTAACACTTTTTTGAGTTGTTACTCAAAATTACTAACTTTGGAGGCGAACCAGCTTCAGGCTGAAAGCCTCCTAAATAAAGATAAATCAATCAATCAATCAATCAATCAAAATTACGATGAAAAAATGACCGTGTATATTTTTCCCAGAAATACTCTTCTTTTCTATACAATTTTGTCTCAGACGTCATTTTGATCAGAAATTATGTTTTCGTGCTACAATTTATGGTAAAATGTCAATGATCCTATAGACTTTTCAGCAGGCAACATTGGTGTTCTGGCGCGCATAATAGAACACAAAAATCATGGCTACTATGTCACACTGTAGAATACAGTGTTACCCACAAAACAGCTGCTTGATCATGTTATAAGATTGTCAATCTCTTAAACAATTAAGTTTCTTACCACATGAGTTTAGATTTTGGGAGGTTAATCAGGACCCGATTTGGAACTGTTTGAGCACTGTGGAGTGAAAATTTCAATTTTTACATCAGTCTAATGCACATGCATACACCCAACCCTTTTTTACGCAGACCTACAGTCATCCCAGTATTATGGGTCAACTAGTCACTATTATGGGTCAGTCAGTTCTGCGTGTTAATCAAATGAAAATTGCCCATAATTTGGGTGATTCATAATACTTGAGTGACTATGTTTTCCTCTTTTATTATGATCAAATAAAACCAAGCTTGATGCAACTGGTAATATATTCAACTGGTCAACAAATTAGAAACAAATGGTACCTACAGAAATTTTCTAACTACACCACAGAAACAGAAAATTGGAAAAATGCATACATGCGGGGGGTCGAGTGTATTGATCTTATACCTTTGATTGATTAATCAACAAAAGATTTCAATCAAAAGTGGCGGAAACAGGCAAGTTTCTAAACTTTGACAATTTTTATCATTACTTGAGTTAGTAATATGACAAACAGTAACGAATAATGTAGCCAGGTATTTTAGGATTTTCCTGTATTAACCGTTTAGAATTCAGCATTTAATGGTGCTCAAGCTCGCTGATCTGATATACGCCAGGTAGATATTCTTGGAGCACTTAACCAAAAGTAAATGCTTAATAATATTATGGGGCTACTCCGTTTGGCATAAAACAATAGAATCTTTTAAATTTAATGCGGTTTAATAATTCAAATTAAAAATAATGGATTTTTGTTTCATTGGTAGCGCGATATATGATGAGAAGCAGTGAAAAAGCTTCAATAATTACTGCAAAATAAAACTAGCAGCGAATTCAAACACATAAACCAACCAACGATAAAGACACCTTTTGCTACTATTACCACGATAAACTATCTCTGTAATACAGCATTCTCGGAGTTGTAGAAGGATAATGATATATTGCTTGCCTGCTTTGCTTTAATATACACGGTTGAGGACATAGCTTGATCGGAATCGAGAAAAGACACAACAAACAAATCCCATTAACACACGTGTATCATCCTCGGCAAGTGTTATCGTTCGGCTCATTGATCGCTTGTCATTTTGTTATTTGGAGATATGTTTAATTCCTTAAAAACTAGAAAAAAACAACTCATGTTTTATAGAATCGAAAATCTCTAATATAAGCACGTCATTGGGACTGGAGCGTAAGTATAGCTATTTATCAAATGCTAAAGTGAAAGTGCCTAGTATTATTTATGTTATTTTTGCATCTGCAAGACATTGTGATACTATATAGTTATTGCAAATGACTGAATTGCCAAGATATTTTATGCCGAACGGTTTTATGGCGAACGGCGTTCCCCCTTTGTGGTTAAGGAATGTTCAGTGTGCAAAAAAAATCATGGGCATAAACGATGATAGCGGTTCTTTGATATTTTTTGCGCACGACCATGGTCTTTTAAGAGCTACTCTGCCCTTAAGACCTTTCTTATGAAGACAATTTCGTACGGATTGTGATGTCAGTTGAATGGAAAAATCGCTTTTAATCTGTTTCGCAATTTTCGGAGCTGATAATCCCCCGTCCAGCTCCGCCTTCATCACGATAGCTCTGTCAATTCGGCCAGTTGTCTTTGAAGGACGCCCCGATCGCTTAGCTTGTGAGATAGAACCACGCTTTTTGTACATTTGCACAATTCTAGCGACTGTATCTTTGTGAAGCTGGACAATATCGGCAATATCAGGGTAGCTTTTGCCAGTTTTGTGATGTTCAATAATCAAATTTCGGATACTGATCGAAATTTATACTTTTTTGGGCATTTAGAACACAAAACTGAAATTTTGAGCACGAAAACTTCAAGAGCACTAAATAACAGCTATACACAATGTTTACGTTTGAGAAAGTTGCAGAATACACACTAAAACTCTGTAAAACACACTTAAATCGTAGTATCCGTTTGGGGGTGGATAAACTTTTTTTGCGTAATTTTTTGCCCTTTTGTATAATTTATCACATGAAATCTCAAGAAAAGATATAAACGCCGTATTTTCAATGGCAATGTGATAAATAAACAAAAATTGACAAATCATGGAGGAACACTCATAAAATTAAACTGGAGGGTGGATAAACTTTTTTTTTCATACTGTATATGAACTCGATGTCAACTACAATCATTTCCTCTAAATCCGATATTGAAGGGACCATCGAGTTAGGGAGAACATCAAGCTGCGGAGATAAATTTATGAAATATGTATGGGAAAAGTGATTGAAGTTGCCTGACATTCCATCGAATTAGGAGAATATCGAGTTTTAGGATATTGAGTAAGAATGAGTTAGCTGGCTGTAGGTATATGTTGATGAAATGAATTAGAAATAAATTAAAATACAATTAATATGATTGTCGGAAATGTTTTAAATACTTCCAGACTAGATTACCTAGAAATTACCACCAACAGTTTCATTGGAAAACAAGGAAACCAAACATTTAGAGTAAGTACCTGTAATATTTCCGTTTATCGTAGTTATTTAACCAGTGATTTATCTTTGTTAGTGAAAACATTTTCTCTGTTGCGTTACTTACAATAAAGTTCACAATATAGATAATAGATAGTAGATAATAGAATTCAATTTTCGAACAGTTTTGTGTTCACAGACAGTGCTACTCCAGATAACATCAGATTCCGTGGTTAGCTATGGGTTCATTGAGATGGTTATATACTGTTAGAAGGTGTCTTTTTTCACACAACTACAAAAAGAAAGTAAACAAAAGCAACATCAAACATGTTAGTGTGTCCAGAAAGCGTCTAGAAACAACTAGTTAATATAACAAATAAACACACGACGAACAATGTAGATGGATGGATAGTGTCAAACTTTCAGATCAAATTATGATAGATAACAAAAGGATTGACTGCCAATGTATGATCCACAAAGCATGAGTTTATATTTACCTGGAAGGTTATTGACATAACCGCCATCCAAGAGTAGATGTCCATCTTTCGGGTCACACAAAGGTGGCATGTATCCGCTAAGTGACATAGACGATCGAACATACCGCCAAAGGGAGCCTTCATTTTTCATTCGATAGGGATTTCACGCAGCAGTTAAATTTGGGTTGTGTTTCAGTAGTGTGGTATGAAAGTAATATAGTTTACAGTAGAAAAGTATCATCCAGGAAAAAAATGTTCAACATAGTAGAAATCAAAGACACAGCACTACGATTCTGCCAATAATCAAAAAAATGCGAAACCAAACAGCATAAATTTGCTATTTTTGTGTTAATGCTTTGAGTAAATTAAATGATTATAGGCAGTAATCTTAACTGAAGATTATCTTTATCTAAAGAAAAAGGAGAGTCAATTTGAAAAGACACTCAGCAGGGCAATAGTTGTTTTCGCCGCGGAAAAATTTAAATTCTCAGAACGTATTTTATCGGAAAATGGAGCGAATATCAGTTGCTAACAGGGATTTTAGGTAGGATATATTACCATGGGTATGAGTGCGGGCACAGCTAGCCGAAATGTCGGTGGTAAGTGTAAAATATGGTATCCAAAGGTCCTCGATGCACACGTCGCCGAACGTTCCACGAATGGTTTGGTTAAAATCTCTCCCGGAGAACATGGACGTAATCGGATAAGTCAAATCCATCAGCTGTCGGCCCCATTGAGTCATTTTCTACGTATGAAATATGGATTGTTATTAATCAATAAATGTAAGGTAAAGACAAGGTCGTTCCAAATCTGTAAACGTCTACTTCTGCGTTAAGTGCATGCTACTTTGTTAATAGTTATTTATACTAATTGTGTGATTTTTTTATTTTCCGTAGATACATTTCATACATTTAGATACAGAAGTCAACGGTTTTGCTTTATTTTGAAGGAAGACTTCAGACAAAAATAGCCAACTATTACGCGGCATATTACGATTTTGTATATTATCAGAGTAATATGAATCCCATCGGTAAAATAAAAACGAACAGCCGAACTATTTTAGGTTGTTAGTCTAGTCGCCTACACAATGAAATAACATTTGAAATCTTTAGAACATCTCCGAAATTTAAAGTTATTGTAAAAAAAAACAATTTTGGGTTAGTGACTGCATACTATCAAGAGTATCGCAATAATTTTCTAAACCAATTTTTTGATTTTTAAAAGGGTTTGTCAAGAAAAAATACAGAGCTTTTGAAATTTAAACACATTTATGGTGATTTTACTGAAATGCATAGGGATTCTTTTACGTAAATAAGATTTTTATGCAAAATAAATCCCATTTTTCAACTTTAGATTGCATTAAGGTGACTAAAACATGATCCTCTGCCCTCGCCATGACACCACTTGTTCTCAATGGAATCTTAAGGCCTCTGTTCAAAATTTGAGCGTGGTCAACATTTACCCATTTGAAGCTATTTTTTCCGAGTTGAAGTTTAAAATGTTTACAAAAACACCATTTTCAAGATGGCGTTGCAAAAGTCCCAATCCAAATCACCAAACCCAATACTCAATAAATTATATTCTCAACAACTTTGTCCAAAACTGGAAGACGATGCGAGTTGATTCTGGAAAGTGATAAGGATTTTATTGAAGCGATGTCTGACTGATTAAAAAAAAAAGGAAAAAAAAATCAGTCAGACATCCCTAATAAAAATTGTATGGTTATTTTGCTTAATGACGTGTTCGGGGTATCATCCAAACCATTTGTTGAAAAGTTCGACTACTTGGGTTATGGTTTTTGTTTATTAGGTATCGCTTCAATAAAAGGCTATTAACTTTTCAGGATCAACTCGGATCGCCTTCAGGTCTTGAACAAAGTTGTTGAACATACAATTTCCTATTATGGAATCGGGTTTGGTAGAGGGTAGCGACACATCTTAATCTCAATCCTAGATGCTCGAAAAATCTTATACTAGTGAATGAATCTTCGAAAAATCTTTATTTTTCGGCATCTACTTGCATCGCGTATCATCTTTTTGCAGGTAATCTTCATAATTGTCATCAATCTTCTTTCTATCTACTCAGCGTGCGCGCAGCTAACCACAGCAAAACAAAATCTTTCCTGCATCGCAGATAGAGTCGCCCCGTTTGCAACGCTCAAATTTTGAACAAAGCCTGAGGATTGCATAGAAAGTAAGTAAGTAAGCGGAACCTTTCAGTTAGAATCGATTCCGTGCGATGAAGGCAAGAATGCCAACTGTATCAAAACCGAATACTTCATCATTTCTCATTAGTGATGGAGTAATACGACATGCACTAAACTAAGGACACGGGATATACTACAATAGATCAAATTACTGGTCGCAGTGGTTTTATGTCCCGAACAGAGGAAAAAAAAAAAAAAAAAAAAGTGGTAGGGTAAATGATGGCTTCGGCAGCCATCGACTGTTTTCGGCAACCACAATTTAAACGTTAATTTCGATGTGTTTTCTCACTAAAACACTTCGCTGAATGTATTTAAACGATTCCTTAGTCTTTCAGCTTCAATCCTATGCTGATAATAGAACAGCTGGTTAACACGCAGTTTAAACGGAAAGGTTGCCGAAGTAAAAGAGGCTGCCGACAATAGTCACACTCACCTGAGAAGTTTGGAGCGCCTTAAAAACTTTTTCAAACCGTTTTGGACAGCGTTGTGGATTGGAATGGATAGAATAGCTAGCAGCAGATGAATGTAAACAAACAGACACGTCATAGGTGTGCGTGACACTGAGAAAATGCTAATAGAAGTGCGGAAGCTGCTTAGATTGACGAGAATACGTAAATTCCCCTATTATGGCAAGGGAGAGGGTTATGTTTTCGTCATCCTAATGGCGTCTAAAGTTAGAAAAATGCTAATCTGTTTGCATAAAAATCAAATTTAATCGCTACGAATTTCAGTAAAATCACGACAAATGTGTATATATTTCGAAAGCTCTGACTTTTTTCCTTCCAAAATCGTAGAAAAATAAAAATAAATCGATTGAAAAATGGTTGAGTTGCTCATGATAGTATGCTGTCACTTACCCAAAATCGGATTTTTAACAATAAATTTAAATGTTGTGGGTGTTATAACAATTTCATATGTGATTTCATTGTGCACTCAACTAGATTAACAACCTACAATAGGTAACATGAAAATTTTCTTTTGTCGTATAACACCGTGTAATTTAAGGAAAGTCAAAGATTGTTTTGTATGCCTTGTTAGACACTAAATTCAACATATCTGTAGTTCTACCCCAAACTGCAATATCCATGTCACAATGGTCCCAAACCCGTATTTAGATACTGCAGTGTTCGGAAAATCACTCACAAACCTCATTCATCGAGTACACTGGAGCTAATAAACTCACGTGCAAACAAATATCACGCTTAAGATTCTCATGTAAAAAAAATTTCACGTACTCATCCTCACAAAGCCAAACATTCATTCCAACTCATACAATCCGATCAAACGTCAATTGATGGCATGTACATGACCGTCTTGTTAGTTTTTCAACAAATAGTGCAAAAGTAATGCTTAGAACAATGAATCAAACGTAACGTCAAAATATAAAGGAATTAATTTTTGAATAAAAAAAACTCATCGGTGAAAAAAACTGAATTTTGCGAAGCAAAACTCATAGGCGAATAATCTCAAGCATGAGATTGGAGATTTTGAGTTTCTTCGTACACTGAGACAGACAAAAATGTTTGCGCTCAAACCATTTATATTATATGTGTATGGTCCTTCGGGAAAGTTTTAATATTTTTTCACCAATTTTTAAAGTGCGTGAAATTAGGATGGTTCCCATGTTTAGGGAGTTCAAAATAACTTTTTTTTTTGTTATGTGAGATAGATCAGCACATTTGAAGAACAATTCATTTGACGCAAAATTAGCTAATAACCCATATAAAATCAGTTATTTCACACTAACTTTTTATATATTGATTTGCCACATATACAAATTATTCTATATATTAAAGATTTTCTTGATCATTTTTGAACAAGAATCTGTGTGTACAGATACACAGATTTTAGCTAAAATTTAGATAATACTGATTTTTCGAATATCAAAATTATTTTCCGAGATGATTAGAAATATATATTACGATTTATGTTTTCATTTACTATGAGTATTATTTAGTATATACATTCCAGGAAAAAAAGTACTACAGAAAAAATAATTGCTCCGATTTCGCTCAAATTTTGTAAATTTGTTCCTTATTGAAAAATTATAAACCAATATTTTTATCGCCCTTAGGGTTAGCGTGGTCCAAAAATATACATTTTTGCCTGTACACCCAATTTTGAAAATCCATATACTGCTAGACCGATTTTAATATTTTATTCAACTGAAAGGTATGTAAAAGAGCTATTTAGATATATTATATATTATGATTATGATTATATACCAAATGACTTGAAATTTTCAGTGAAGAATGTTTAGTCCATAACGTACATATGTGATTTTTATTAGGGTCTGAGAGGTGGTTTATGTCGTGTAATGGTCATGAGAACAACATGCTGTCTAAAAAGTGTTGTACAGTCCCAAATTTTAAATCAGCGGTTATGCAAGGAAATTATTTCGTCATTGTTGCTGTTGAATCTTGGAACCAAAACAATTGTTTTGGTAAAACATTATAATTAAAAATATTATCAGATAAGTCATATAAGTTGGTCAGAAATTTCACTTAACAAATTTGGCTCATTTTGACTTAATACTAAACAAATAAAAAATCAATCACTGAACGCCAAACAAAAGCAGATGTTTTTGTCACACTGTTTAGCATAATAGTTAAAAACTTACATCTGTTTATGTATGTGTCATGTGCCATTTAGCCATTTTTTTTATAGCTGTAGAAGCATATTTATGCCGGTATAAGCTTTTACTCAGCATTCATTGTGTGTTGGGAGCCTATTTTCAATTTACAATCTAAATACCAGCATAATATTTTTTTTTTTTCAAAATATATAACTATTTATTAAAATCAATTTTGCTGAATAAAGAAGTTTTCTATCTCTAACGATTCATGTTTTATACTGGGTTTATAATTAACTCAGGTTGACCCCTGAAAAATCGGCAATTTTCACTTTACTTTTTACATATTGCATTCTCGTAAATGGAACTTTTGACGGCGCACATTTTTGCTGGGGTAATCAAGTTGCTGTCTCGTTTAGTTAAAAAGTTATGAACGATTTTCGTGAAAAAATTCGCCCTTTTTTAAAGTTAATTGAATGAGTTAAACAAAAAACGCTCTCGATGTTTTAAATCTATATATGAATAAAATTAAGATTTTTCAAATACATTCGACACCATAAACATCCATTTGCTCCGTTTTTGAGGTATCAATATTTGAAAATTTCAAATTTTTCACCAAAAACATTTATAACTTTATAACAGAAAGAGATAGCTACACAGATACATCAGCATCATGTGCCATCAAAAGATCTAAAAGTGTTTAGAACCAACCATTTTCAAGAAATCAATGCAAAAAAGTTAATGTATAATACGGAAACAAATAGAACTAGAAAATTTGTATCCTCACCAAAGTTGCTTCCAATGAATTGTTCTACAAATTTGTAGAACATTGCGCTGGTCCATCTCAAATAACTAAAAAGATTATATTTTGAGCTCCCTAACCATAAGGACCACCCTACTTTTACAAAGGGGGAGGAGGGGCATAGTTAGCTTCCAGGGCCTTAGCCTTGAAGTTTTTACAATTCTA